CAAAAGCATCGCTACCAAAAATGCTTGGAAAACAAACAAGTTCTCCCTTGTGAGCAAATACTCAGACACCCGGAGCGCCATAAATTCCAGTTCCACGTCACCATCCATCAGTGCTAAGGGAGCAGCGTCAAGTACCCAAACTACACAGGGAAAACGAATCACACAGGGCTTGGGAGTCAACGGGGGGTGAGGCTGGAGCCCTGTGTTACTCCAGTGCCCTTTCAAGGCACTTGACGTTCCATCTCCATGTGTGAGTCACCATTTCCAAAAAATTCCAAGAATCTCCTCTTACCCTGGCCATACTCCAACAGGTGGCACCTGTCGGCCCTGCTCTCCATTCTTAAATGCTTGGTTTTCTTTCGGAAAGGTCCAACGCCCTCCACAGCCAGGCCATTCGCGAGCAGGAAGCTGCCCTCGGGTCTCCGGAAATGGTGGACAGTCTCATAGCTCGAGGCCTTTGGTGAGTGCAATCCTGGTTCTTTTGCAGAGTCTTCTGACTTCCCTGAGTGCCTCTTCTTTTTCTTTTTCTTCTTTTTGTGTCTGTGGAGGTCAGCGTCAGAGTACACTGCCGGAAGATCCGGATCCAGCTGATGCCTGCGGAAGCAGCACCTGGAAATTAGCAACCCAAACACCAGCACCACCTCAGACAGGACCTGGCCCTGTCGTGACCACTTACTGAGGACGCTCAATGAACAGGCACAGGTAAATGCTTATCTACTTAAAAGTAGGTTCTCTACTTTCAGCTATAGTAACTTTGAAAGCCCAGAGTCATAAATCCAACAGCTTCAACTGCACCCCTTGCTCCCCCATCACAGCCTCTGTACTGAGGAGGTAGGACTCTCAGCCGGCACATGGCCAGGAAGACTTAATGACATCTCCTGAAATCAGTGGCTGAAAGAAGAAAAAAAGAAACAGAGAACATTATGCCATGTGTCTCAAGCAGAGGGTGCAGAGACTTGTGATGTGATTTCCCTTCTCTCAGAAATAACCTATTTACATATGGCTTTGGCAATCTTTGCTAGGGTTTTTAATTTGATTTATTTATGTATTTATTTATGTATTTATTTTTGGTACTGGGAATAGAACTCTGGACTTTGCACTTGCCAGGTAGGCACCGTGCCACTGAGCTGTATCCCCAGTGCTAGGATTTTTGATTTTAAAAGAAGTCAACTGGACTGCACAGTAATTCCATTTATGCTCACTCATCTTCTCATCTTCTTCAAGGCAGCTGTCAGAGCACTTGC